TGTTTTTTTGTGTGTGGGAGGGGTTGCCCCTATTTCTTCTCTTCTCTCTCTATCTCTCTCTCTCTTCAACTCTCTAATGAACCAAAGGCGAGGATGTTATGCCTCCCAAAGGGGTTTACTCTAGCTTAATTGAGTGAAAGGTTAGGGTTTCATGATTTATATAGACTAGTGTTGTGGAAGAGTCAAGATAATCAAACTTCAACCGTTGACCAAGTTCATCCACCACAGGGTACGGCCTAATTCATGTCAAATTTCTCTCTTGAATTTAATTTCAATTTTCAAAAGTCCTAAGTATGACGACAATTCATATCCATCCATTATTAGGATCAAAGGCCATGATGTTGTAAAGAGAGAAGCACACTTAAGAAGCATACCTCCCCCCTCCTTCTCTCTCTCTCATTATGAAATTTGAAATTCAACTTTATGGTAATTTCTCACAATTGGTTAGCCTCACACGCATATTGTGTCATAACACACCTTTGTTGTCATAAGACACGTGTGTCTAACACTCATGTGCACATGCATTTGTCTAATTAAATTGTTTCAAATAAAAAAAAGAGCTTTCAGATCTATATTTTAATAAAATAAAGGATCATAAATCAAGAAAAAATCTTGATCACATATGGAAAGCCTCATGTGCAAAATTCCCCTCACATTCATAATACAAATGTACATAACACAAATAAGTGGACAAACAAACTAGGGCATAGGCGGACGCCACCTTAGGGCTGCCAACATCAACAACACATCATCAGCATGCGGTTACATCATAGCCCCATGGAGCCCAAATGGAAGACATTGGCCGGATGCCACATAGGAAACATGTATGACCGTTCTTGATAGTCATTTTTTTAAATAACTATAAAATTTCATTGTTAATGGTCACAGAAAATTCTAAAAAATCCCAAACAATAGTTTTAACCAATGGTTTAAAAAACGGATCGGTGATCCTGATCGGGCTCCCAAAAAACCGATCCGAATCGGCGAATCGGCTATCCGGATCGGGAATCGGGTGAATCGGTCAAAATAAAGCTTAAAAAAAATCCGAAAAACTTATTAAAATTCATTATAAATATTGTTTTTTAGGAATTCAATAAGAAATGAGTGTACTCCATTAAGAATTTTCATGTTTTTGAATGAATATGCGAATATTGATATGTTCTTTCACTGCATGAACCGCCATTCAGCATTTAATTTACATCACACAAAAGGATAAACATAGAATTATCATGGAATAAGTATATCAACATACATGGACTACAATAAAGCATAAAATTAGTAACATATGATCTAAAAATAAAATGATAGACGACGTTATTGTTCTTCTTGGTCACGCTAGTGCCATTCATTGAATTCGTTTAACAATTCATTGATTCGATCTAAAAACGAATCATCGATATTAGCAGGCGTCTGACTATTCCCAAATCCCTGAATGTTAGTGTTTTGTTGTGTTCCCAATCTAAAATCCCCGAAGATTGTCCATCCTTCATGCTCACCTGCACTGTCGTGCTCATCCCTACACTGTTGCTGTTGGGACTCGATATGTGAATAATATGGCTGGGATAGGGTGGCTTCAGAATCATTATCTCTCTCATTTTCTCTTTGAATAATATGGACTAAAAAAAACAAATAACAAATCTTCAAAAAAATCGATCATAGATTAAAAAAAAAAATCAAAAAATTTCAAAAAATTCTATCATGAATTACAAAAAAAAATTCGATCATGGATTAAAAAAAAAAAATCACAAATTTTCAAAAAATTCTATCGTGGATTACAAAAAAGAATTCGATCATGGATTAAAAAAAAAAAATCACAAATTTTCAAAAAATTCAATCATGGATTACAAAAAAATCGATCATGGATTACATAAAAATCGATCATGGATTACATAATATTCGATCATGGATTACAAAAAAAAACAAACAAAAAAAAACAAAAAATTCAATCGTGGATTACAAAAAAAGAAAAAAACAATTCGATCATGGATTACAAAAAATTCAATCATGGATTACAAAAAACTCTATCATGGGTTACAAAAAAAACAAAAAACAAAAAATTCGATCATGGATTACAAAAAAAAAAAACATTTCGATCATGGATTACAAAAAAAAATAAACATTTTGATCATGGATTACAAAACATTCGATCATGGATTACAAAAAATTCTATCATGGGTTACAAAAAAAAAAACAAAACAAAAAATTCGATCATGGATTACAAAAAAACAAACAAACATTTCGATCATGGATTACAAAAATTCGATCATGGATTACAAAAAATTCTATCATGGGTTAAAAACAAAAAAAAAAAAAAAAAAAGACCGTATGGGACTCGCTGATTCACTATACAGACTCGCCGATTCCGTACAGTGAATTGCGAGTCACTGTGAAGAATCGTCCGGTTCTCTCTAGAACCGGACGATTCCCGTTTTTTTCGCCGATTCGATCCGTCCATGACGATTCCCGAGTCGAACCGGGCGAGTCCGGTTCGACTCGGCGTTTTTTTAAACACTGGTTTTAACTATTCTCTACCATTTCGAATCAATTTTTCACATAAAAAAAAAATTTATTATGGGAATTAGGATCCTTTAAAAAACAAAATAGGGCACTAAGGTGCTGCACTTGGTTAGTCATTTTTCTCCGATTGACCTAGAAGGACTAATCTCTTAGGCTTTTACAAGGGCCCATTCTAGGCTTATCAAAGCCAACCCTATAAATAACCGAATTTCAGATTTAGAGTGGATTGCGGGTACAACCCAAAGACTTGCCCTCTTACTAATATAGAGGTACAACCCAAAGACTTGCACTCTTACTGATATAGAGGTCCTCTCGTTTAGCACATGAGAATCAGTTTGTCAAGATCTTGTCTTGACAAAGTAGCTTCCCATTTCGAACTATATATGTACATGATGTGAGAAGGCTCGAATTTAGGGATTCTGATTTATGTCCTCTCAAAGCCTAACTGTCATACAAAACTCATAGAAGTACTCGAGCACTCAGAAAATACTTAGAAGTAAAAATGACAATAGTTAGAAATTAGGGAAATATTCTCCGTGCACCCTTTTTTAGAAACCATTTCTTAAAAAACTCAAGGTTTCAAAACATTTATATCAGGGTTCAAATCTTTTCAATCTTCCAACCCACCTGACCCAAATACCTCCTTTTGAAGACGTAATCTTGACCTAAACAAAATATGAAATGGCACCTATTTCTCTTTTGTCTAAAGGGAAATGTTTCTATAATTCCTATATAGCATAGAAGATCTATGCTTCCCCTACCATCAAGCCGTCCAATTTTGATCAAGAGAGCCACTCACCGTTTGATCTTAGATCTGACGTCTCAAAGTATTTTATTTTTATTTTATATACAAATTGCATGAATATGAAATTTGGTACGTGTTATCTTCTCATTGGGGCACACTTATAAAAAATATTAAAAATAATTTTTCGATAAAATATAATAACTAAAATACCTCTTGAAACTTTTGGAAGTATTTTGGTCATTTTATTTTTTGAAAATATTTATATTTTCGCTGGTGCGAGTTTAATAAAATATTTGGTGTCAAAATAGTATATAGAAAACAAATTAAAAATAAAATAGTGTAGAGACGTGATATTGTGATTGGGGCAATCTTAATCCTCCATTCAGAATGGACGGTTGGATAAGCGGAAGTATATAAGTTTTAGGAAAAATTACATATATATATATATATATATATATATATATATATATATATAT